AACAAAATGAAAAATTATGATTGGTTGAATGCGGTTTGCACGGTTTGTACAAATTGAGTGGTTTGCATTTGATCGCTCCCCTATATATATATATTCTCAAATGTAATTTTCACCAGATCAGAAGTACATCTCTATGACTAATGTAGCTATATCGTCATCACATCAAAGACCAAAACTAAAGCATACTCCCTCGAAGATAATGTATTGTGATTTTAGGAATTACAAACTCTAATGGGATGTATTTTCCCTTCTCACCCCAAGCAATTTTAAAAAATAATAGGTATTAGGAGTGTGTTGTATGCGCTTACATTGCTAACGAAATGCTTATGAACAATCCATCTTGATGGCCGAGAATATTACCCGGTAAGGTAAATAAAAATGGTGACTTCGCTTGATAAGCGTTTACCCGATAAGTATTTGGTATATGGCACCTTAGTACTTTACATAAAGCGACACAGAGAATGGGTAATAGAGCTTCAAATGTTCATAAATAGACTATACCATCCAACAGAAGCTTAGGCCATTACAGAATTGCAAGCAAGTTACCACTGATCTAGGACAAATCATATGCTAAGGTTTGTGTGTTTACGTGTTTACCTATACCACGAGGTATCTATTTACCGTAACTCATTGGGTTCCCACCTCACCGATACCTATGGGTATGGGTATAATTTCAGTATTAACATTTCGTGTATATTGTGAATGTTAATATAGCATTACATTGATTTCTTCACCCGGCGTTTTAGGCACGAAGTAGGTTTCAGGATTGAATCAAAGTCTTAACAATGCTATCTCGTTCAAGTAAGATCCATGAGGCATTTCATCGAACACACCGCTCAGATTCTAGGTTCATAGAAGTGAATGGCTGTTGGCTAACAACGGGAGGCCCACACAGGGAGGAATTCCAAGTCAACCCAATAGTTATTCGACAATCTGTGCTTATTTGCTTGGTTTCAAGGATACATCAGCATCAACTTATAACATCATTCTTTACCAAACACCCATGAATTTGAATTCCTTACTGAACCAGAAAGAAGGAACCAGATGCAAATATGCAATAACCAAATTTTGTCAATGGGATCGACTATTCTAATTCCTTCATATTCCCCCCTTTGAGCAGTGGCTGGCCAGTGATCTATGTGCAATCCAATCAAATCGCATACCTATGTAGTCGAAAACCTATCTACCCCAACCACCAGCAAGGAATTCGTGAAGATTTGTAGTCACAAAATCTAGAGTTGGGAGCCAACTTGTTTACTTGTTATCTGTGCTACCATCCTTCTTATCTTTTGTGGTGAGGCTTTTACTCAGTTCCTTTACTTCACTATCCAATTCCATTCCTTCTTCAATAGGAAGAGTTCTTTTCGAACCATCCAAAGCAACACCAAGAACAATATTTTCTTCCATTGCAGGCGGCCGCGACGGCTTTTGTTCTGTTACACTTGGCTTCTCACTTTCCATTGCTTTGTTGCTGCTATCTGTTGGTATCAGATTGCTTGTTATCGTTACAGCTATAATAATAAGTTCGAAACTCTCTACGTTTAGCCACAATGACAGACTCACCTGCAACTTTGTTGTTTGGTTTTTCATCTGAGTTTGGCTTCTTATCTGCTGCTGAATCAGAAGGTACTTTATCAATGCTCTTGACATCAGATGCTGGTGGTGACGGTGGTGTATCTTTGGTTTTGGAGTTCCCTTCTACCTTGCTATTTGACTTCTTGCTGCTGTTTTGGCCTTTTGATTTTTCTTCTCCGTTGACTTTGTAATTGGGTTCAATTAAAAGCAAGGGGCGATTTGAAGGTGCTCGACCACGGGTGAATACTGAATCCGCAAAGGGGAAACCATCCAAGTCGGAGTCGTTATATATCTTTTGAACTGTACGGATTGGAGTTGCAAGTCGAGCCCGGTGGTGACTGATCACTCTCAGAAGATCCAACAAGATCGCTTCCTGGTTTCATATCACAAGGAACATATCAAAATAAGAGGAAAAACTATTAATGATTGAAGATCACTTTTCCAGATACAACACAGTACACACATGCATGCATTGATGTCATCATACTCACAAAAGAGAAAGAAAACAATAGAGACGTAAATGAATATTTACTAACAGTGTTCTAAGCTTTCTGCTTAGGGTTACTTAATTGGCTGATGGGGGAATAAGACAACCATTTCAGTTACTTCAAAACAATTCAGCATAGTTGTATTCCTGAAAGCAAATAATCCAACAGAAAATACAAAAGCAATGGCTTTTTCTGAACCTAGTCCTCTTCAGTGATTATAGTAGTTATATGTTCACATAATAAACAAATTAATTATAATTGAAAATAACATAAAACACCAATACTCTGAGTAATTAACTTTCATATGTTTCAATTATCTTAAAACAATTAGACTTTGTAGATTGAAGTGAAGCCTTCAATGTGACTGTTCTAAAACCAGCGTTTAGAAAATTAAATGCTAGAAAATACAGGTTAACTCTTAAAACACAGTAGTAAGATGCCTAAAAAGAATTAATGAGTAGTCTAAATTTGTGTAGGTTGAGAAATGTTATCTTACCTTTACACATAAATATTCTTCATAATGAGACGTTTTCACAAAGCAGGACACCAGAATCTGCAGAACAAACATTAACATAAGTTAGGACTAATCAGATATATGACTATTGACCTATATTAGGTCATATAACGACAATTATAACTGGAAGAACCACTAACTAGTATTTATATCAAAGATTAAATCAAGAACCTCATGAGGAACAATTGGTAAAGGTGTTAGATATAAGGCTTGGGATTTGGCAGTATATGCATCACCCTGAACTCAGGGGGGGATCCCATGTTATAGGGTGGGTGATCCTAGGACCACTATTGTTTTACTAATACCTTATTACAGTAAAAGAAAAAGTCTTATCCTTTCTTTTCACACACTTTGCACAAGCCGGGGGTCTTAACGGAAACAGCTGCTCTACTCTTTGAGGTAGAGGTTAGGTTAACTTACATCCCACCCTCCCCAGACCCCACCTCCAGGTGGGATATTGTTTGGTTTAATTTCCTCAAAAATGACATGTTCCTCTACAGCTAAAAAACGCTATAGAACCAAAACTTTCGCTTTGTGGGAACAGAAACATATACTAACTTCCATATTCTCATGGTGCGAAAAGAGAGCTATCTCTTCCTTTCCATTTCAAACTCCTTTTTGTCTCCCTTTCCATCTCTGGACTAGTTCAACTCTGTAATGTATTATCATTGCTTTTTGTCTTGATTCAAATTTATTATTTGTCTCCCTCTAGCAATGTACGAAAGAAATCTACATTTAAAGTTGAAATGGTTTAACGAATGTACCTTAATTGAAATGTAATATCACAAACCAAGTTAAGTAGCCTTATTGGTGTTATAGGTTTTATAAATACGAGGCTAGAATGAAAATTTCTATGAATACAAATTACAGGGAATAAGACAAACCAAAAGGGACTGATTTTCAGGATCAACGTTTTCAAGGAAAATCCTCCTATGCAATCTCTGTTGTTCTACTTGAGGATTCTTTGCCAATACCTTCCGCATATCAGCTACAATACTCTGCAAAGATTAAAAACTCGTGTAAATCTTGAGAATGACGATGGAGAAAAGAAATGTCATGCCAAATGATCAAATATGTTCTTACATTAATCTTGTTGACATCGAGATGACTGATAGCTAGGTGAGTTTTAATACGCCAGTGAGTCTTCTGAGTGAGATTTCTCACTACGTTCATCGTAAACTTATGGTTTGGAATGTGAATAGCTTCACGATCTTCACCTCTTATAATTGTAGGTGACCACCACCCAACATGCTAGAAAAAAAAAAACAAGGGGATCCACATCAGAGGTATCCTTGACAAGCATCTGGTACTTTCCAACACTAAGAAAATGCTTTAGAATATATGATGTCATCAATAAAATATATGCAAGTTGAATGTTGTAAAATCATGTTAAATCACATAATGCTTGCTTCGCATGCAACTAGGAAAGAAGCAAACCTCTACAGTTCCAGAAACTTCATAGCCTTCAATCTTAGCTTTAATCCACTCATTGACGATAAATGGCCGGGTTGCATGAATCATCGCACTTGAGAGAAAATTTGTGAATATCTAGATAGAGAGATAACTTAATGAATAGATCTTCATAAATGATGGAACATGTAAGAACTGGGACTGTCAAGTAATAATTGCATGACATGGCATGCATAATACACACAACACACACACACATATACATATGTGTATATGCACACACACACACATATATATATAGAGAGAGAGAGAGAGGAAAGATTTTTGGATTCAACAAAATTGAACACTTCTTGTGGAAACTCTCCCTGGCACACAACCACAAGTGACTGCCCCGTAAGCCCTACATGTTTGTGTGTGCGCATGTTTAGAGCTTCCACAAGCACAAGATATGTGTTTGTGCACCTCACGGCCAGCAAGTGTCAGCAAGACTGTCCCAAGACCTCCTGCAGTTAGCCATTTCTGGGTAGAAAAACCTAGCAACTCCATGAAAAGTGATACAGCAGCAACCCATACTGCAGTGTATACAGCTTTGCCAGCAAATTGGAATCCCATCTGCCAACGACAACAAAGTATTATAACAAATTAATAAAGAAAAAAAAATTGATCTACTTATTGCTAGCACAAATAATTATCAGCCCTAGAATGTCTAGCTTTCCTTACAGGATGAGTTTGGCTAAAAAAACATAGCACAGAACATATGTCAATTTGCATTAATTTGCACAACTTGTCAACATTTAACAGGCAGGATATCAAGTGATTGGCCTAACGACCACGACAGAAGTTTCAAATATATATCCTGTGAAGTGCATGAATGAAGGACTATTTCAACCTAATTGCATTTGGACACAAGTATCATAATGCACCTAATGCACCAATTTCTCAAAGGCGATCCCTACAAATGTTCTAATATATGAAATGTTAGGAGAAGTTACATTGAAAAAAGCCTGGCTTCAGGGCAAGGTTACAAAATAAGCTCTGTCAAAAGATTTGTACACGTTAAACTATCTTGTCTACCCAATTAAACATTGGTGTCAAACAGTCATCTTATAAAATCACAGGATTCATTTTAAGTGGCATTTTGGTCTCTTCCCTCAAGCATAGTTATTCTAGTAGATTTACTATATTTGAAAAGTTTAACTTGCTAAGTTGTTACAAAGAAGCTTGTGACTTTTTGTGTTCTGATATAAATTGGACTTTATCAATTTTCTTGCTTCTTCCCTTTTCTCGTTCCACAACTAAAAGAGATAAAATAAACTTGTTTCTTTCTCCCCCTTCCTCTTTCTCCTTACATCCTCAAAGCCTACCAGAACAGGCTACAACAATTCCACCAACCTACATACCCTACCTTGGCAAACACATGTTTCACAGCCAGAATTATTATTTCATGAACAGTGAGAATGTTTCATTCAATTGGTAATTTGGGAGATATAAACAACAGCAGTTTATCACGGATTTGCGCACAGGTAAAAGAAGGGTTTGACAAGCCACAACTTTGCCTGCTTTTAGTTTGTAAATGGACCCAAAAGTCAGGGTTCTCTTTCTGTAACTCATATTTCTTCTATGAAATGTGAAGGTATGCAACAGATCTTTAACATCTTCAAAATTCATTCAATAAAGAATGAACATAAAATAAGACGAGGCATTCAACAGAAATTAACATTAGTAGTTAGGTTAGAATAATGCAATGGAATTGTGAGCAGTAACTAAAAAGCTCCAACCGATCAGTTAGTAATACGACTGATTATTGGGTGGACTAAACAACAACAGTAGCCTGAGCTCATGACTAATGAAAAGGTTAACATGTGTGGAAAAAGGATTCAGTTGAAGAAAATCATAGTTGTGGAACATACCTTTCTTGTATCAGTAGCATCATTTGTCTCCATGAAAAGGTTTTGTGTTTGTTGAATTGCACTGCATCGATGATTCAAACAAAGGATTAGTTATAACAAGAAAACCTGCAAATTAGTAACAAATCGAAATAGTAAACTGCATTGGAGAACCAGGTCGTATTAGACAACAATAAAGGAGGAACATGAGAACGGAAGAAAATTTGTTGTCAGGTAAGGCCACAGGTGCAGTAGAAGAAATTATGGGCAGAGAAAGGGAGGACTGAAAAAAACTACTGGCAATGTGTTGAGTGATCAAATATAATAACAATTATTGAAAAATACTTGATGCTATAAACAGCTCATTATGTCTAGGGAAGTGAACAATTTCATCTTCTAGTTCATCTCAAGACTCTCCCGACAAAGAAAGAAATACAAAATTCACCTGGATAAGCAGTAAGCAAGTGCAAGCACAGTCGATAATGATTTCACGAAAGTTAAGAGTCGTTGCTTAACAATTTGGCTAGCTTCTGATGGCAGGACAATTGGATCTAATGCTCTGCAAAAAAGTTAAATGTAATCATTTTAACATTAGAGTTATTGACTTCCATATCTTGCCTGAAAACTTTATCAGTTGAACCTGCAGATAAGTGTTGCTCCTGTCCATAGCAGCAAAGGCTGAAGATAAGAGGTCATAACATAATGTGTGTTACTCTTTCCCCAACTCCCATCACTCTTCTGGAAAAACATGTGAAATATGATATTAAACAAAGGGAAACAACAGTAAAACAACCAGCAAAATTTAGATGGAGATGGGAAAAGGCACAAACATGAAGAAAAATGTTTCTGCTTTGACGCATTAGCGGCCCAAGACCCCACACAGCAAACACGACAATACCCACTGCTGGAAGTAGCTTGAACATAATAGGTCTACCTTGCAAAGCGCTGCAGGATGTTTGAACACAATTATTAAGCTATCTCATGGAGTAAAGAGGTAAGCTAGTTTTTTTCTAAGATGCTGTCCAGAAGTATATTCAACCAAACAGCTTGTAAATACACCCAATCTAGATTCCTAGATGATAACTGATGCTTCAAGAAGAGCACGTAAATGTAAGTTACTTCGATGACTGCTATTATCCTCTGGTCACTAATGTTAGTGCCAGTTGTGGTTGTACAAAGAAATAACACCAAATTGTTCAAGAAATTAGACTTGATTTGGTTGTAGTTCGACAGAAACTAAAGTTCTGGTGTAGTCATAGTATATGATGTTTGCTGTTGAGACCTAAGTAAGAGAACACAAGCTTTCATCTATGTTCAGTCAAACAACTGAATGCTGAAGAACATAGTTTTGAAACAAGAGAGATCACCTTGATAAAGCAAGAGCACCATTCTTTACTGCAGAAGTCCCAAGGTCTGGATTCAAAAAGCAATTGCACTTAAGTAGATTATATCTATGAGAACCAGTGCTCAATGGCTGATGTAATTGAACTGAAAGATTGATACTCAAAGAATCTTGTCGCTGCAAGAATAAATAAATTCAGGGTTATCTTTGTCATACCCTAGATAAAAACAGGTTTCTTTGTGGTATTACTTCCAAAAGCTGAAGAAACACAAAGAAATAGAGTGGATTCGGAGGATTGTGCAAGAAGCTATTGAATGTTAGCAAAGAGGCCCACTCATCAATGGACATCAAACCTCAGCACTGAGAACGATGGCAAGTTTACAGGTTTTCAGATAATCAAGTTGGTGATGTCAGAATTTATATTCAGCTTTCCAATTTCAAAACCTCCTTCAGAATCGTTCATTGGCCAGAAATCAATACACAGATCTAAGAATACTCGATCGTGAGGGTTTGAAACTGTATGAAAAATATATTGACAGTTGACTTACTCGTATTCTTCCAAACTCTGACAGTTGATTTATATTATGTTCAGTGACATGAATTTCAAAATATATAATGTAGACAAAAAATGATCACACAAAAAAATAAACAACAAAATGTTATTCTCCTAAACTTCAAGCCGAAGTGAACCATACCAAAGCAACCGATGAGAGACTGGCTGGTATTATATGCAGTTTGTCACTTCTAATGATGCCCTGTCGAGTACACATGACATTCTATAAAAGATATTAGTCCAAGCCGACTTAAGATAAATTATTAAAACAAAGGGCAACACATTCAAACCTTGAACTGCTTGTTGTACCGATGGTTCTTGCAAATTCCCCATTTGTGAGAAAAATTCAAAGAACCAGCTGAAGTCATCGTCTGAAGAGAATGCAGCTACAAACATTCAGCATAAGATAAGAAAGTAACTCAGCAACAGTACTTTGGCTTCCACCCAGTACAGACGATTGAGGAAAGATATCTATTTGACAACAGCCTTGCCTCTGCTACTGGCAGGGGAAACATTCTACTAATAAGATACTTGAAAAGGTAATCCAAAAGCAGCAACATCATCTCAAAGAAAAACATAATAATAAATAGCAAAATGGTCTGAAGGCTGCAAAGCAGCAAAAGTAATGGGAAATAAAATGCTGAAGGAAATTAAATCCGAGCTTTTGAGTTTCATAGAAGAGAACTAACTTAGATTAAGCACATTAGGATATACCCAACACATTGTGCTTTAGTTCCAGATAAAGGCCAACTTTGCAAGTCAAAGTACCCATGAACATAGATGGGGGCCCTAGCTAAGAAGAATGGCTTACAGGTATCTCGCATCTCCCCTGGCCAGCCCCTATCTCCTTACGTAATGCATTTTAAAGTTTCCACACAATCTCATATTTAACCTACACGATTAGTCTAACTAAAGGCTTTTCAAGCTTAAAACAGTAATGTGTCTGAGTTCATTTTTGCAGTTAATGCTACTATTTTTGAGTCTTTACGTACCAATGATCATAATCAGATTCGAGATGTAAGTTGTTGTCTTGTTGATAATTTGATGGGATTGATTGATGAAGATTTATAGGTAGGTTGTTCCCTTCACATAGCCAAAAGTATATATGGTAGCCAACTGATTGGTAGTGACTGAGACGAATTATAATAAGTAGCATATTTATAGGATATGCTTTATGTAAGAGGATTGTATAATACTGCCTGTAAAACTACAGCCTATGAATACAAGAATTCTTCCATTTTCCTCAAGGTATTAGAGACCTTGGGGCTTATAAATTCCTTCTAGGCCTTCATAGTATCCCTTTCTGCAAGCACTTATCATTTAGCCTAATCACGTAGGGAGTCTATAAAAAGTGAATCAATTGATAGATGCATGTACCAACATCTAGTTGGCAAACTCATTTATTTGTCTTATGCAAGGCCTAACATAAGCCATGCAATAAAAGTTGCAAGTCGACTCATGAAAGACCAGAAGGAAGTTCATCTGCATCCAATTACATCTATGTTGATTATTATGCTGGTCTAGTCATAAATTGGAGATTTGCAAAATCCAGGCATCTTGCATTTTTTGGAAGTATCAGATGCCTCGAGACAAAATATTTAAATTGAACCTCCATAAAAACAGGTCACTACATGCCCAGCTGCACTCTTACATCTGTAAAGAAGATGGGAAGTGTCTATCCCCCAGCTTGAGGGGAGTGTTGGGGTTTTTCTCATTGATTTGATTTGATGAGGACTTGAACACAGATTGTTCACCATAATTAGCTACCAGAAATGATTCTAGTCATATGATGATTTATCTAATTGATTTGATGTGACGAGGACTAGTAAGTAGTTTTGTGCACTTAGTTTTAAATATTGATTGCAATTGGTTGATTCTTGCCATTGAAAATGTGTAGATTAGCTCTTTGCTTAAGGGACTCTTCACATGCCTAAACTTAGAATATGATATAAAGAGGAATTTTGAGTAACTTCTAAAGTGTGTGCTTGTAGATAAAGGTAGCGACCTCTTTTTTAGTTAAGGGTTGGCTGCTTAGGTGAAGTATGTTGGGTTGGATAGTACTCCATCCTTTCTCATCCTTATCAGATTTGGGTAAGGTAGCCTGGAGTTTGATTTAATTCACATCCCTCATGAGGGGGTTCTTCAGATAAAGTTTAGCTTCCCTCCAGATCCCGTGGGATGGGACACCTTTGCATAAGATCCCATTTTGGGCCTTTGGCCCTCCTTGTGTGTGCCAAGCTTGGTTAGGACAGGGGACCCTTGGGCTGCTGTCAAATGGTTCGGATTGGCCTTATCTGTATTTTAGCCTCGATGTGCACTGAGTAATAATGCGCATCATTAACGTAGAGGCATCATTGCCTCATACTGTATGTAAAAAACAGTTCTTGAACAAAAGAATTCTTTCTCTTTCATCTTAAACTATCTTTTTTCTTTAAACAAAGTCTTTCAATTAAGTTTCTTGTCACCAAAGTTGTTATGGTACAAGAGAATCCCAACACATGCTACTCTCCAAGCCTTTCCGAAGTGAATTGACAATTTCTGAACAATGCGAGTACAACATGAATTAAAACCGTGAAGGACAAAAACGAACCATAACATTCAAAAGACAAACAAACAGAACTTTGCAAGCAGAGGTGTCAAAGATTCACCATTTGCAACAGCTAGGTATTTAAAATGGCAACAATTCACAAATTTTCCCAGTTCCAGATTCGTCACAGTGAATACTCAGCTTAACAGAAGGCATATTATTGGCATTCAATGAGAAGCAGAACTGAAATCATCATTAAACACAAAAAAGAACCCTCTCCGAACCCTAAAAGTACCAATTCCTTGGATTTTCGGAATTGCTTTCTTCTAGCAAACAATCAGAAAATCCAAGACGTTGGAAAATATGAAGAAGTTTACTCATGATAGCTCAATATCATCCACTTACACATACAGAATTACGTAAACAACAAGTCCATTGAGAAACTACAAGATTTAGGGAAACGCTGAGTTCTTATCGGTTCATAAAGTGCAAAACTTAAGAACAAAATCAGGAAAACAATAACAAATAGCAACCATAAGAAGAAATCAATAACCTCTATGGCAAGGAATGAGAGGAAAATTGGCTGGTTATTTGGCGCGGAGGAAGAAGAGAAGCAGGAATGGTTGTTTTTCCCGAGAAACGTATGTCTTTTTCCTTTGAAGTTCTTTTGTTTTTTTATCCCTCCGCTTGCTTTTTCATTTTCTTTTTGGTTCCTCCAAAATTATCAAGGCAACTTCTTACAAGAGCGTCCGGCCCCGGTTTGTAGTAACACCCTCGCGGCTCCAGTTTCTGGTGGGTACGGAGATTATCATCTTGTCTTCGATCAAATCTTTAGCAATCACTTGTCAAAATCCGGTAAAATCTCGGTCAAACTCCATAAATAATATCATTTAGTTTGATTCTATCAGAGATCCCCGACCCTGGTCCCGGTTTGAGTCTACCGGGGATCCCCGGCTCCGAGACCTGTTTTAGCAGGGAATCCCCGTCCCTGTTCATGTCGGGTGAACTAGATTCCCCACCGGGTCGGGGCAAATCACCATCCCTATTATGGTTTGTTTAAAATTTGGTTTTAGTCCTTGGATATTAAAATGAATTATCTATGTTGATGACTAATTTTTTTATTTCATAACATTTAGGGTTCCTAGAGTTAATATTGTTAATTAGCAACTGTTATGAAAGACTGATCAATATTTGGACAAACTAGAGGGTTCTGTCCTACTTAATCCATATCTTCGAAGAGGATTTGTAGAGATATGGGTAGATCTATAAAGAAACTGAAGGGGGGACTTTGATCAATATATGTCCAAGTTCAAAAGTGGTTGAGGTCCTGCGAGATATGGTATAATATCTCATCTGTTCAGGGTTTAATTCCAGACATACATCATAATTGTGATCATTGAGTTTATCATAACTAGTTTCTTGCAATCACAATTTACTTGAATTAGTTCAGGCATCGCTCTGGATACCCTTCCAAAAAAAAAAGTTTATTCCTAAATATAGACGGACAGTAAAGGAAGGGAGAAAGGGGGTGGTCAAAGATAAGGAATAGGGAAGGGGAGTTGACCGGAAGTGAGGGTCGGAGAAGTTTGTAATTTACTCTATTAATAGATAACTATAATATATTAGGGTTGTGTTCCGGTGAAAATGAAAGTTGTCATCAGAATCACAATTCATGGGATATGAGTGAGATTAAAAGTAATCAAAAGTGTAAATCTTTGTTACACTTCTCACTTTAATTCATTCGTTTAATATATTAGAGTAAACTACATTTCTGGTACTTGTGGTTGCCACTCAATATCAAACTTGATCCTTCTTTTAAACTAATTACAATTTTAGTCACTATGATTGTCATTTTGTTTCACTTTTGATCCATCTTAACAACTCTAGTTAAAAAAGGTATGTTAATTTTTTTTTTGTTTTTCTTTCCCTTTTTTTGTTTTATTTGATCATAGAATAAATTACAATTTCCGTCCTATGGTTTGTCTTTTCTAGCAATATCAGCTTTCATTTTATGCCCCTTATTATATTAAATCACTTAATGATGATTTTAACTAAAAATACATTAAAATTATGTATTTTTATTTTATAAATTACACTTTTAAAAAGTTTTACCGGTACATTTAAAAGGAGGTAAACATTGAATGATTTAAAAATGGCAAAGCCGTGCCAAATATATAGCGGATTTGGTGCAAACCCATTTTTGACATATTGGTCCTAGTATCATAGGCGATCAAACGGCCGGCCCCTAATTACTAGACCAACCTACTATAATAATTTGATATACACCTAGGAGAGGCAGAGGTAGTGAAAGAAGAGAAGCTTACCCGATTCACCGTCTACGTGCTTGGGACAATATTTGTAAATCTATAAGCTCCCTGTAATTCTGCCTGTTCCAGCCTTTGAAACTTAACAAATATAAAATCTTTATAATCAATTTTACTTGCATATAAAATTAACTATCACTCACTAGGTAGTCGTGCAAAGTAACCACAAAATGTCACTCATATAAAATCAGCTTGAAAGCTATTTGATCACTTGGTCAAATAAGCTCTCTATAATATTGTTTGTTCCAGACTTTGTAACTACTTGATTTAGGAGGCCAATATATGAAAGCCACGAGCCGCTTTCTTTGTAGATCTGCTATTTCAGGGTTCCATGCCCATGGATTGTTAATGTAATTTATCCGCAATATATCTGCAAATCCGTCAACATTAATAAAAAAACATTTTCTATTTTAAGTAAAGTTCAAAAAATATACCATTTTTATAATATAAATAAGATGAAAACCGAAATTTATCTATGTCTATTAATAGACAATATATCATTTTAAGATATTTCATTCAATTAAATGTTTTTTGAATGTGTATCAAATAAAAAACTTTATAACGTAATAATTTTTTTTAAATATCAACTAAAAGTTATTGTAATGAAAAATAAACAACCAATTAACAACCACACATTTTATTGTTTTATACTAAAAAGTATTTATCTGTATTTTTTTGCTTGGAAAAAGATATACAGTTTTTAATTTTAAATATAATTTAATTATTTATATTCGAATTTATTATAGTTTAAGTATTAAACTATTTTGAAATTATCTAATCTAGATAGTTTAATTATTAACACTATATTTTCTATTTTTAAGATCAAATATATGAAATTGTGTGATTGTTAATTTGACTGTTTATTTTTCATTAAATTTTTAACTTGATATTTTGAAAAAAAAAATTATTATATTATAAAGGTTTTTATTTGATACATATTTAATTAAATGAAATATCTAAATTTTTTATTTTTTAGAAAGGGTGCTAAATAAATATGAGTTAAATTCTAAGCTAATTTATTTTACGGATTCCTTTTCTATTTATTATAATTTTATCCATAGACAAAAATTCGAATCATTTTTCTCGAGCCGTACGAAGAGAAAACTTCCTATACGGTTCTCAGGGAGGGGGGGGGGGAGGGAGTCTTTTTCATCTACATCTATCCTGATGAGACGTCTATCGAATCGTTGCAATTGATGTTCGATCCCGAAGAGACATTTTCTATTAATAGACAGATAAATTTCGATTTTCATCTTATACAAATAAGAAAAAATAAATACATTTTTTGAACCCAGTTTAAAATAGACTTTTTTTGGAATCGTGTAGACGGATTTGTAGATATAAACATCAAATAAATTGCATAAAAAATTAAAAATATTCAATATTTAACGCATTTTAAAGACATCGATATTTTTTTTAAAGGTGTAATTTAAAATACGTATTTTAATTGTATTTTTAGTTAAAATCATCCTTAATTAATTAATATAATAAAATATATAGAATGAAAAATGAAAATGATATAAAAGATAAAAATGAAAAAAAAATCCATAAGGACAAAAAAATATAATTTACTCTGTGATCAAATAAAAATAAAGGATCAAAACAAATAGTTAACCTACCTTTTTAACTATAATTAATTAGGGGATCAAAACTGAAATAAAATAACAATTAAATTGTAATTAGTTTAAAAGAGGGACTAAACATAAACCACAAGGACCAAATTATAATATACTCAACATATTAATACAATATTATAATATTTATATTTTTTAATTTTAAATAAGAAAAAAAAGATGTAAAAAATCAAAATAGGGGTGTAAATGATACAAGACAATTCGTGAATTACTCAAGATCGACTCGGTCAACACTCGACTCGAATTAGATCGACTCAAACTCGAGTTCGACTCAACATATTAATAAGTCGAGTCGAGCTACTAATACTATACTCGAAAAGCTCGTTAGATACTTGATATTTTTTTTTTATATATAATTAGTTTTAAAATATAATCACGTTTATAATATAATTTATAAAATACACTACAATAAAAATGTCTTGTATTTTTAGATATTTTTAACAAAATTGTGTATTTTTTTAATTATAAAAACTAATCAATTATTTTTCTTATTAAAATCATATTAGAAAAAGATAAAATAAACTATAGAAGTGTTGGTGAAGCTGTCTCGCATTTGAAGATAAATAGTAAATGAAGAAAAAAAAGAGATGTTATAAAAAGAGAGGGGATGAATGGAGTTTGTGACTTTGTTTTTTTTATGATGAAGTTTGAGGTGGATCTCCTTAGTTTATAAAATTTAAGAGAACACGTATAAGTTTATTTATACTATATTATAAAGCATTTGACAAAAAACTCTTAAAAACCCTTTTTATGTATTAAGTATTGTTTATTGATGCAAATTACTTAAAATTCAAGATTACAAATAAATTGTGCATATGTACAACTTATTAAAGCTTCATTTTTGAATTCGTGTAACTAATTACAGATAAACATAATCAAATACGAACCCGACTCGCTTCATTTACATTCCTAAATTAGATCAAAATGGCATCTTAGTTAAGTGGGTTAAAAGTTAAAACCAAGAAAATAAAGAAAAGTACAAGAACCAAAAGTGGTTTATTAGCGAAAAAACAAAACCCTTACAAGAAACGTGGGAAGGGAGAACATTAGTTACAAAACCCTTTCTCCCTTTGTTTTCACCTATCGCCTGTTTCACGATAGCTCCGGCGCCGACCATACTCATCCCCTCGCTTGTTATGTTGCTCCGTCACTGTCCAGGTATCGTCCATCTCTTTCTTCTTTGTGAATTGTTGATTGAACTACATTGATTGAAACTTTATACTTGATAGATTGAAACTCCTGGTCTGGCAACTATGAAACTTCATGATTCAGCCTTTAAGTAAGAAGGAGACACAACGTTATGTTTGAACCTTCATATGACTAAATATTTTACAACTGCATTGACACATTTAAGATTGAACCTTCACGAACTTGGTCTGCAACATCTTGTAAGTTTGGGTTCTCTACTTTTGCATTTTAACAACCATGGCTATTAAGTTGAATTGTATATAGGAGGGCTTATTTAAAAACGAAATAGCAAAAATATTATCATAGCATGTATAGATAACATGCCTTTTTTTCATTCCATATGCGTATAAACATGTACATATATCGAATTCTCAAGCTCTTGGAACGACAGTAGTTATCTAGTTTGATTGTCATTAATTTTACGGGTCCCTTCATGATTATATTCAAATTGTTTAGATTTAAAGAAAATCTTGCAGCAGCAGCAGTGAAGACATCATTATCAAATGACTAGTTTTCGAACAAATTTTGTAGGGATCTCCTTACAACTATTAATCTCATAAATCTCCTCTTTGTAAGTATCCTTTGCTATGAACTTCAATGGGATTGTAACTTTATGAACTTTTAATGTATGTGGGGTCATATAGGTTTTACTTACACTAATTATAAACTTTATGAACTTTTGGTTGCAATTTCGTTCTATTGAAGTACCAAGTTTCCCAAATACTAGGTTTATGAAGGTGAAAATTAAGCCGAAGTTTCACATAATATTCGACAGACTTGAGCATACCCATAATATAATCAAAATAAAAGAAAAGTGATCATAAGTGCAAAACGAATATAAGGGCCTATTTGTAAAAATGACATATTTCCTTTCCTGTCTCTCCTCAGAAAACTTATTTTCTTTCCTTCCTTTTCCTTCCTTTTTCGAGATCACAAACAAAAAAGTTTCTTTCCTTTCTTTTCCGTTCTTCCCAAATTCTAGAACACAGCATAACAGTTAATATAAAGTTGCAGTTTAGTTTGATTACCTTTCACTTGGATACGATCTAAAACGATTCCACATTCAATAAAGAGCCAGAATAAATATCTCACTGTTATTGCTTTTCCTGGTTTGATTTTGATTAGTTTGGATTTGTTTTTCTCATGTATTGGTTTTGCTTGACCGAATATGCAAGTATAACTTTTTGGTACATCAAATATGTTGTCTATTGATGTTGTTGGCTATCTGACATTCACGGTTGAATGTGTTGTCTATGGATGTTGTTGGGTATAATATGGCTTCAAGCGACCCCCCTCAAAATTTCCATTATTTTTAATATTTGAGTGGTTTGATTGATTTGTCAGCTAACTTTTTGCCCGAATGCTGATGTCCCATTTTCAGAACCCTACAAATTATCTCTTTCATCTCATTGCCTTCTTCTTCTCAACATTTAGAATTTACCATTTACCAATAGTTGAATGTGGTTTGTGTGGCAAATGATTCTTAATTGTGTTGGTTAGATGCTTACTTATCTTTTTGCATTTTTATCTGTTGTTGCTGTGTAATTTGGACATGAACTTTGTGATTTACACTTCTGTTTAAAAGGCTGATGTATCTGTGCTTATTATTCAGTGGCTATCTCCATGCTTGGTTTCAAGGATAGATCAAACTTTTGTAGCATCAACTTATAGAAACTGCCAACCCGATATGCAATACTTCTTCATCGGATCTGTTTCAATGTCTGCTCAGCATCACTCTCTTCCTGACATTCTAATGTAAGTTTATTGGAGATTTTTTTTGGCAATGATCAAATTTTGGTCAACTTTGATCCGGTATTGAAAAAGGATTGGAGAACGGAGGTGGAATTAGCGTTATGTCCGCCCTAACACAGCCAAGACATGTCAGTGTGCTTGTCCAGGACACTGTCAAGCTCCTCAGATACTTAGCCCAGACTAAAAACCTTAAGCTCGGCAAAGTAATTCATGCTCGTTTGATTGTGTCTGATCAAGTTTACGGAGACAATATACATGAGACTAACTCTTTGATCAATCTCTACTCAAAATGCGTAGAACTGGAATCCGCGCACCATGTGTTTTATAAAATGAACATACGAAATGTAGCTTCATGGAGTGCTTTAATGGCAGGGCTTTTTCAAAAAGGGTTTGCTTTTGAAGTTCTTAGATTGTTTAAATCAATGGTTTCGGAGGACCATGTTTTGTGCCAGCCTAATGAGTATATCTTTGCAACGGTGCTTTCATCTTGTTCTAATGTTGGGTGCCTTTTATTAGGGAGACAATGTCATGGATACGTGTTGAAATCTGGATTAGTGTTCCATCAGTATGTGAAGAATGCTCTTGTATGCTTGTACTCCATGTTGTCAGACGTGGTAGGGGCTATGGAGGTTTTGGTTTCGGTCCCTGGGTCAGATACTTGTACTTATAACCTAATTTTAACTGGACTTGTTGATAATGGTTACTTGGATGAAGCCTCAAATATCTTAAGGAGAATGTTGGCTGAACATGTGATGTGGAACAAAGCCACTTATATCAGTGTCTTTGGGCTTTGTGCTCGCCTTAAAGATTTGAGCTTGGGGCATCAAATTCACAACCAGCTTCTAATGAGTGAAGTTGAGTTTGATGTGTTTGTATGTAGTGCAATTATCAACATGTATGGGAAATGTAAACAGATTTCATGTGCCAGAAAAGTTTTTGACAGGTTGCAAGCCCGAAATGTGGTTTCATGGACAGCAATGTTGGCAGCTTACTCACCACATGGGTCCTTTGAGGAGTCGTTAAAATTGTTTCTAGAAATGCAACGTGAGGATGTTGTTCCAAACGAATCTACCTTTTCTGTACTACTCAATGCTAGTGCTGGATTATCATCGCTGGGATATGGATATTCATTGCATGCACTTGCAGAAAAGAGGGGTTTTAAGGGTCATACGAATGTTGGGAATGCCTTGATCAACATGTACTCAAAGACTGGTGACATTGAAGCTGCAAGAAAGATGTTTGTAGGTATGACTTATCGTGATACCGTAAGCTGGAACACAATGATATGTGGATACTCCTATCATGGTCTTGGTAACAAGTCATTAGCTTTGTTTGAAGAAATGTTGAAAACGGAGGAAAACCCTAATCATGTTACTTTTGTTGGCGTTCTCACTGCTTGTGGACATTTGGGGAAAGTCGAAGAAGGGTTCTACTATCTGAACCAGTTGATGAAACAGAAGGGTATCGAACCTGGTTTGGAGCACTATACCTGCATCATTGGACTTCTAAGCAAGGCTGGACGTCTAAATGAAGCTGCAAATTTCATGCTATCAACACCGATCAAATGGGATGTCATTGCTTGGCGCACCTTGCTCAGTGCTTGTTACACCCATCGAGATCATACTCTAGGCACCCAAGTTGCAGACATTATCATGGGTTTGAACCCTGATGATGTGGGAACCTATACCCTCTTGTCTAACATGCATGCCAAGGCTAATAATTGGGGTGGAGTCACAAGAGTCCGTGAATTGATGAAAAAAAGGAATATGAAAAAAGAGCCGGGACTGAGCTGGTTGGAGTTAAAGAATCAAACACACTTGTTTGTTTCGGATGACAATGGACATCCAGAATTTCTCCAGATTCATGCAAAGCTGAAGGAGTTGTTTGCTAAGATAAAAGCACTTGGTTACGTGCCTGATACTGCTAATGTGCTACATGATGTTGAGGAAGAACAGAAGGAAGATCACATTGGTTATCACAGTGAGAAGCTTGCAGTAGCATATGCCTTATTGAAAACACATGAAAAGGCACCAATCTGTATTATAAAAAACTTGAGGATATGTGATGACTGTCACTCTGCTATGAAACTAATCTCAAAAGTTACAAAAAGGTCGATAAATGTAAGAGACGCCAATCGTTTCCATCGCTTCCAAGATGGAAGCTGCTCATGTGCAGATTATTGGTGACTAAAATGTATTTACATCGCTAGTGACTCATGGTCAATCACAAATACCATCCAGATCAATGAAATTTCTTGGTGGTGGTTGATATGTGCTTCACCAATGGTTGATGAATACATGATCAAGTGTTTAGAAGATATATCTTTCCATAGTTTATAAGGTAGATCCTTTATGGATTCTGCTGGAATTTCAATTGGACTTGATTGGTTATAGATAAGGTGATACGAGGACGACCAACTTGCATGCAGTTGAAGATGGTTATCGCTTCTATGCATTTAGAGTGTCCCTCTCGAAGGTAAAACTTGGTTTAAAATCCCATACCTCATGATATTAGTTCACTATTGGATACTTTATGCGTATTCTTTCAAGAGTATACGCAGAATCTTTTCTTAATGGGAAATTTCTTCTAGCTTTTTCTTTGTTTCAAAGTCATGAAACCCAATCTTTTGTTTTCTGTCTTTTTCAGACCTGGCTAGTTTTTGGCGAAGATCTTGAGGATTGGTTCAGAGTCGATGTTTATGCCAAGTGCAAAATGAAGGGACTTTCTATTACTTAATCATATACAAAAACTAATAAATGAAAGACTATTTTGTATTGGATCCATGACTTTTAGCTAGAGCGCATAGATCAATGGAGAATGAAGAGTAAATTGGTCATGCTTGAGCATCAACCAACTCAGAAGTTACTCCACTTGCAGGTAAATAAATTCCCAGTTTCCAACTTTATCTTTCAACAACTTAAGCTTCATTTATATAGTTACATATTCATGACTTGTTAATATGTTTAAACACCGTTCATGATAACGTCCGGTCTAACTGATGTAAATAAATCTTGTGCCGGTCTTTTTGAAATGATTACTAGGTATCTGTTTCTATCTTGAAACCCATGTAATCTAGTGGGTATGTGTCATGCTAAAAATTTCCTTAGTTTGAATAGTTATGTTCATGGTGTTGGAAATGATGGCCTTAGGTGTTATTGAAATGTGTTGTAAACATGATTGTAACTACACCAAATCAAACGAGCTTAGTGCATGTCATCCAGAGGTCGGTTCTGAGGGTACGATGTATGCATATCTGACCAAGTAGAGCGAGCGTTCCCGTGATAACCTTCTGTTTGTGCAAAGTGTGAAAGAGAGCCCAAAAATGTGAGGAGATATAAGAAAGAGGATGACTTTGAAAAAGAAAATCTTGAGACGAGATAAATTTTGGCAAGGTATTTATGGGTAAGCAACAACATACAGCTAGAACTAGAAGCAGAGACAAAAAAAATACAGCCAAGTAAGAGAACTACACAACTCTACTTTAAATCACAATAATTAGTTTTATAGCTTTTGGCAAAACTAATTATGATTTATTAACATTAAAATAATCAGATTTTTGGAGAAGCAAGTAAAGAGTCATTGTAATAAAACTGGTTTAATTAAATAGTTATATTATTGAAATTACAATAATCGCTTTGAAGAAAACACATCTAAATACCTTTTAAACTGTATTTTAAAACATGCATTTTAGATATACGATAATCCAATTCTTTTTCTTCTACTTGTTGACCTTGATGCAGGGTTTGGAAGAGAACATCTTTGTTGACCTTTCGGGGTAAATATTTATTGGTCGTTTACCAAACCCGGTAAATGCTTACTGGTAACACTCTCGGTCCTTGCTATGTCTCTTAACAAGTAAGATTATCGGTTCAATCGGTAAAGTAAGTGACATTGATAAGCGCTTCCTAGTGTTTTTGTTAATGCCCCTAACTCATTTATAAAGTGATTATTTAGAATAATTATATTTCTATTTTTATGTTACAAATAAAATATCGTCTTTTTGAAAGAAAAAAAATATTAACCTGGATATCCAACCTGCTATACGAGCCGACTAATCCTAGGGCAACCACCTGTTTTGCAGATAGCCCGGAGTCACTGCATTTAAACCTCCGTGACCACAACATTGGATTTGAACCTGGGACATCCAGATATTTTTGACCTTTGTATGATGTAGATGTAGGGGATATTGTATTTTGCAAGTATGAAAGACTTTGGATAAATTATAAAAATATTTATGTAAAGGTAACATCTTATATTATATTTTTATATGAATATTGTTTGTTAAAGCATAATGGAAAAATTAAGTAAATTAATGGTTTTGTTCCCGTTAAAGTCAAGTTTTATTATTTATCAATTTAAAATGGTATTGGGAGTTGGGACTTAGAAAAGGGGAAGTGGAACAGGCCCACACCTTTTTTCATCTCACGTATAAATCCGTTTACTAATGGGATGGACACCTACCATATGATGATCGTGGGACTGGTATCAGAGGGGCAAATGCAAACAGTTTCTTTGTATCAGTGGAGTCCCAAATGCCTATTGATTTCAAGTCTTCAGTTATGTTATTTCAACAAACGGGTTCATACAAGTCGTGTTCCATCCGTGAAAACAATGTGCAGAAAAACAAACAAAATACATGTTATATGTAAAAAAGAAAGAAAAAAAAAGCTAACCGTTGAGAGCTCTTAACGGGGATCGCTCTTGAAGACTCGTGTTCCTTTTCGGAGACTGATACACATTTGTGTTTTCTTTCACAGGATCAAACTCATGAAAACTCAACATTATACTCCTCAAATTTCTCATTACTTGCCCATCTTCCCTTGATAACTTATTAATCCTTTCAGACACCCCCCCAATGATATCCATCAACTTCTCTTTCTCTAATAACACCTTCTCCACACATTTCTTCTCAAACTCTAAATCTTTCTCCAATTCCATCACCATCAAACCCTTTTCTTGAACCTCAATCTCCTTAAGAACCACAAATGTCCTCATATTCTCCCAAGCTTCAAGAAACAGCTTCATCTCTGCCTGCATCTTTCCAAGTTCACAAGAAAATGAAGCACTCGAATCATCGAATTCTTCCTCTAAACACTTCATAATCTGTCGCAGGTTTTTGATTCGTTCATCTTTCTCTTCTACAAGCTGATTAAGACTCTGCTTCTCATGTTCATGGAGTCTCTCAGATTCCAACTGTGCGAGAATTGCGGCTTCCAGTTCTTTCGTCACCCATTCTTGCTCCCACCATTCTATCTCTTTCTCAAGCTTTTCACCATTCTCTTTACCAAATCGGTTTGATTCTTTGAGCTTTTGTTCGAGCTCTTTGATTCTTTTCTCTTTTTCTTCTAAACCACAAACAAGATTATCGATTTCTTGTTTGAGGTCGACTTCCGTAGCCACTTGAGCCAAGAGAGAAGCTTCCACTTCCCTTCTCATTCGATGGTTTTGTTCCAGATTCGCTTCTAATCGTTCTGCAACTGATTTCCATATTTGTAGTTCAAATTCAACTTCAGTTGCTTCACAACAGCACCAATCAAGTTCTTTGTTTGATCTATCTAATAAATCACACACATTCTTCAGCTGTTCTTCATGACTCTCAATCTCTTTATGTTTGATCATCTTCAAGGATTCAATTTCTGCAAGTTGTTCTTTAATACTTTCGTGGGCTTTAACAAGATCACAGTTCTTACTCTCCAACTCTTTCCTTAAAACCAAGACCTTCTCTTCGTCGATCTTTGATCTGGCTTCCAAAAGTGTCGATTTCATTGCCACCATCATGATTGCAGACTCCTCTTTCTCCATTGTTAACTCCGACATCCGAGAGTTATAACCATTCAATTCAGTTGTAATCTCTTTCAAACGGGCCTCTTTACTTTCTAACTCGAGTCTGCAAACATTCAGGTCCGCAACCACTTTATCAAATTGAGAGCTCCATTCAGCTTCTCGGAGTTTACTCTGATGAGAACATTCACTATGAACCTGCTCCAAAGTTTTAAGCTTGTTCCGAAGCTTTCCAACAGAAGAAGAATTACCGGCTCTTCTGAGTTCTTTAAGAGAAAAAACCAACTCTTGATTTTCTTCCTCCAACCTGCCAATCTTAGATTCCATCTCTTTATAAACACATTCTTTCTCACTAAGCAAGTTCCTCAAAATCCCGATATCTTCATCTTTCCCGTTGGTCAGCAATTGAAGTTTCACAACTAAGGACTTTCTTTGATCCTCTTCATGGGCCAGAGATCGATTGCATATCTGTAACCGCCTTTTGAAATCTTCCGAAAGTCTAATCTGCGAATCCAACTTTGTCTCTAACGTGGATATTTCATCAAAACAAGTAGATTTCTCCATATCCCATTCTTTTTCCTTTGTGCGTAGGTTATCTCGAAGCTTTTCATGGGCTTCTTCCAAGTACTTGAACTGTTCGTTCTTCCATTTAAGTTTCTCTTCAAGCTTCGCTTTTTCCTCCTCCAACTTTTCAAACATGTCTCCATTCTCTCTAATTTGTTTGCAAGCTTTAGCCATTTTGCTTTCACTGGCACACTTCTTATTTGAAACCGACAAAATCCCTTCTTTGAGAACCTCAATCTTGTCCATGAAAGCGCGGTTTTCATGCTCCAGATTCAAAATCTTGACATTGGCTTCTTCTAACGAAGAAGCAAGCTCCTTTTTCTCCTCTTCACTTTCCCGAAGCTTTGAATTGAAATCAACACGAAGCTTATCATTGGAAGAACTGAAACTCTTGATGATACATTCCTTCTCTTTAAGTTTGCACTTGAGATCTTCGAGTGACTGCTTTGCAGCATAATTTTCATCAGATTTTGCTTCTATTTCCCGAGCTTGGTTCTCAAGTTTCTGATTGAGTTCTTGGATCGTTTTGACTTGATCATCATACGATCTCTTCAAGTTGTCACAAAGATTGGCTTTCACATGATACTCTGATCTGAGCTTTTCGATTTCAGCTTTTGCATCATCTAGCTCCTCGTAAACTTTTTCAGGCATGCTCATTCTTTCGTATAACCTGTGACAAGCTAGCAGCATATTATTAGAGCATCTCCAATACAAGAACCCAATTTTGTTGCAGATTTCTTGGCACATCATTTCCAAATCACCAAACTAACAACTCCACACAAGAACCCTTTTATATTTTTTCAAATCAATAATTTAAATATCTTTTATAATAATATAAAAATCAAAGAAATATAAAAAATTAATAACATGTCATTTCACAAGGTAAGAACCAAAAGAACTCTAAGATGTGGATGACTCTCTCTCTCTCTCTCTCCATAAGAACCTACATTTGGCGCTTGATGTATGAAAATCTGTTTACAACACTGAAGAAAATGGAAAATCACCATTGACATAAAAATTATCACAAGATTAGCAATATGAACACAAGATTTTAACTTAATAAGACTTGCGATAAACTAGTCTCAGTCTCAGCCACCTGGAAATGCCCGAATGGGTTTGTTTATATCATAAAATTAAGATGCCAGCTAGAACATGATAAAATTACACATGTTTTTAAACTAAAAATCGATAAAACCCTAGTCAAATGTGAAGATAGAGAGAGGATTAACAACATGGATCGATTACAGAAAGAAATACGATTGAGTTAGGGTTTCTGAAAGGGGAAACAAAAAAGGTACCTGGTGTTGGGATTAACCCATTAACATCTGTTGAGAATGGAGAGATTGTTGAAGGCGATCAGATTATTGAAGAATTTCAGGAGAAATTGCAGCTTCGAGTGGAAGGATTTGGGGGAGAAAATCTTGTTTGCAGGTAGCCGTTGCAACTGAACCGTGTTGTATTTTAAATTGCTCTCAAGGAAGTTACCGTTTACTACTACTGTACGACGTCGTTTGATGCATTTAATTTTTCCACTCAATCTTCGGCAAAGCGAAGGCCCAAAAAGAGACTAAATAATCATTTATTGCTGCTACTTTTTACTATGTAACACCAATTAAAACATATAGTGGTATTTTAAATTGCTCTCAAGGAATATTGTTATTTGGTTTCTCGGTTTATTAATGATAATAATATGAAAATCGAAAATTATTATATTAATTAATTCATGAAATCAGTAACAGATCCACATAAAGATTCATGAACCAGTAAAAATATAATCAGCTATGAAATAGATTCATGTTAGATTTATTCATGAAAACGTTTATTGAGGAACTTGTTTTATGAAACGTATGCAGATTGATTTGTGAAAACGTTCATTGATGAGCTTGTTTTATGAAACTTTTGGAGATGAACTGGTTGTGTAATATAATATTTTTGCATAATCTTGTTTTCTTATCAACAATATTTGATGAAATTGTTTCATTTTTTTTGGATAATTTTGTTCACTTAATGGTTAACAAAACATGTAATGGTAAATGCATTAACTCTATGAAATGTGTTCGTATTGGAAGAAATTGATTGATGAAATGGGTGCATGAAGAAAGTGAAACAATTTCATAATTGATAAGAAAATATTGTGTAATTAGCGAATAGTGAAACCATTTCATTATTACGATGAAACATATTCATCTACCAATAACAGTGAAACCATTTTATAATTAGATTGAAACGGATCCATCTACCGAAAACTTGAAAATCACAAATGTCTCATCTAGCATTACGTTGATTTGTGTATTGATGAAACTGTGAAACCATTTCATTCGTAAAATGTAGTAGTAATTTTATTTTATTATTATTTAAAAGATTTCATTATGTTAAATTGATTATAGTGTGTTTTATTTTTATTGTTGATCTATTTTAATGATGAATATTATTTTTTTATAATATTTGAACATAAAATTAATATATTATTTTACAAATGATTTTGTTTCATTAATATTACGATATACATGATATGGTTGCCATTAATATTACCACTATCAAAGTTACCATTTTGCCCTTTTTGGGATTATAAAATAAATTTGAACCCACCCTTCTATATATATATATATATATATATATATATATATATATATTATGAACGATCAAATGAAAAGAGGAAATGTTTGATTAAAATCTTAACATTTTTTTAAAAATAAAATAAAGCTTTGAATCTTTTAAAATGGATCATGTTGTTATTTTAATATTATATATCTATACTATATTATAAAGTATTTGACAAAAACTCTCAAAAACTATTTTTTATGCATGAAGTACTATTCATTGATGCATGTTACTTAAAATTCAAGATTACAAATGATTTTGCATAAGTACAACTTATTAAAACTCCATTTGTAAATTCGTGTAACTAACTGCAGATAAACATAATCAAATACAGGATAAACATCTATTTTAAATATAGAAAATCTAAAATATAATTAAGATAATCATTGAGTTTCTAACAGAATGTTTAATTATTATCTTTATAAAAAATTATATTATTAAACCAAAAATAAATT